ATAGTGAGGGTGATGGTGAGGGCCAAGGGAAGGGCCAACAGGAGAACCAAGGGGAGGGCCAAGGGGAGGACCAAGGGGAGGGCCATAGAGAGGGTAAGGGTGAGGGTGATGGTGAGGACCAAGGGGAGGACCAAGTGCAAGGCCAATGTGAGGACCACAGTGAGGGCCACAAAGCAGGCCCGGCTGGGCTAGGACAGGGGTGGGCTCCCGGCAGCGGTGTGGCCAGGCTGGGGTCAGGCATCCCCCACGACCTACTCTCCAACCTGCCTCCAGAGCCATTTCTTCCTGAGAAATCGTAATCAGAGCTCAAGCATAAGAAGCTGGTCAGAGCAGAAGTGTTCCAGCGCATGGCTCTCGCTGTGGGGTCCCCGTACGCCGCGGGTCCCGGAGCCCCTTCGAGACCGAGCAGTCAGAACCCATCTGCATTTTACGCACGCATCACTCTCGTGGCGCCGAGCCGAGAACCGCTGTGTTTGGTGAGGCTGGTTGTTGGAGGTTCGCACCCTGTAGCAAACACCACTCCCCTTCCTGCACTGTGTGTGTTGTGGGTTTCAGAGAACAGTTTTTCATTAAAAACATGTCTCCTATGTTAGCATAGCCTGAGCTTATTATTAAATGCACTAATATACATTTACAATTTCTGCTTTGATAGCAGTAGATTTCTCCTGTAGAGACTGAGGCTGACGTCTGCGAGTGTTGAGAGGCGACGTTGTTCTGCGGCCACAAATCCCCCAAGGAGCCCCAGAACTGCCCGAAAACGTAGCGCAACAGCATCACACAAGAGGGCGCGAAGCTTCTGAGCAAAAGGCTTGAAGACTCGCGGTTCATCAGCCAGAGTTGGGCAGCATGTGGCAAGGTATCCCCAGAGTCACACACCTACATCTGTGGTTTTTTAATTTTTCTTTAAGATTTTACTTATTAGAGAGAGAGAGCGTGCGCACAAGCAGGGAGAGTGGCAGACAAGGGAGAGGGAGAAGCAGACTCCCCACCGAACAAGGATCCTGATGCTGGACTTGAGTCCAGGCTCCGGGATCACAACCTGAGCCAAAGGCAGACACTTTACCAACTAAGCCGCCCAGGCAACCCCACATATGTGTGTTTTCACATGCACCCACAGACACACATATTCCAGATGAAAACTCAGAGAGAGTAGCAGAAACACCCAGATCTCACCCGAGAGACAGGATCCTGCCCTGCAGCTCAGAGAGAGGAGCAGAAAGGCCCAGATCTCTCCCCAGAGACAGGATCCCGCCCTGCAGCTCACAGAGAGGAGCAGAAAGGCCCA